TGCAGTTCAGCGGTTTAAATCTCACCAGCTCAAAGTTGACTCAGCCTTCCATCCTTCTGAGGTGGGTGAAATGAGGACCCAGACTGTAGGGGCAATATGCTGACTCTGTAAACCGCTTAGAGAGGGCTGAAAGACCTATGAAGCGGTATATAAGTCTAACTGCTATTGCTATTGCTAACTTGCTACAAAACAAATATTTTCAATAAAACCCAAAAGACTGACAATTATTTAAATGGATTTAGTTGAACTTAAAAGGCCTAGGCTCTTAATCTAAAAATATAGGAGAAAAGAGTTAAGATTCAGTTTATTCCTAGTTTATCATGGGTATCTATTTAAGATAGTGATAGTCCAGTTCATTATATATTCTCCAGTTATGTAGTGCATAAAGTATACAGATGTGTATGCAGGGAGAGGGCAAGGAGAAGAGAATGAATGGATAGCTGGAATTTAAATATAATTGTAGCAGTGGAAAACTATCATCAGAAACCTTCTGATCTATTTAAAAGACATCAAGCAGATAGATGTAAGCTCTAAAAAACACCAGAACCCATAAGAGAAGATGGAAAACATCTAGTAATTCCAGTTCCCACCAGAGTTTGTAGTGCAAGGACAAAAATAAAATAAATTCAGGGCAAGTATCCAATAATCTAGATAACCTTTTATATGATGGTATTTAAACTTCTATATTGCTAAGTTCCTAGAGTACTTGTTTGGCTTAAATATTTTGTCCTCATCAACAATGTCTATTGGAACAGACACTTATAGCATGATTCTTTAAGTACAAGCCATGAATGCAAAATAAAAATATGACTCCTATAGATTGAATAATAATTTTGGCCCCAAGACAGAGTATTTTAAGCTCAAAAGTCAGTTAATTAATGAAAATAATTCTCCTTTCTGATTAATGAACAAGAATTCTCAAGACAACTAATTATCATTTTGTTGAAGTTGTATGAAAACAAGAAATAATTTATACTGCATATTTTAAACATTCAGAGAATTGTGTTTTATCTCTGTAATATCTAACCAGCAATGCTTATATTGCAAAAAAAAAAAAAAAGGTGAAGTGGAAAGAAAATCACCATAGTTGGCTTCCAGGCATATTGCAGATTCCTGGCTAATAATGAAATCTGAACTAGCAACTTCAATTTTAGCTAGCGCAATGGGCAGGCTTTACATGGGATCACAAGCATATGCTAAAAGCTTATCCTCTCTCAAGATTAATATTCCTTCCTGAAATTAGTTACAAGCTAATTTATATGTATTTGTCCCATAGTAAAGAACATTTTTGGTGCCTGTTCCCAATTTCATACTTCAGTGATTTAAGTCTTTTTGCATTATCAGCACAAAAGTGAGATTTTGGAGACCAGCACTTCAATGCAAAACTCACCAATTTTTCCATCTTCAATAGTTTGTTATCTTGCTGGTGCAATTTCTCATTCTTGATTTCCAATACTGCTTTCAAACTTTCCAGTTCTTGTTCCAGATACATAATCTGAGGATTTTTCTGAAAATTTATATACAAAGATAAACATCTTTGGCCCTTCAACACTGCCATGTGTTTTAAATTAGGTGTATGATATATTGACTGGCTATAGATTTTCTTCTCCATACTTGGGAGCAAGGGATACGGAAAAATATAGATACTTGCAAACCACCATAGAACCCTACAGAAGTACTTGCATTGAATGGAGAAATTTATGAAAGTGGTATTTGTATTGGCTGCAAATATCCATGCATTGCCCAGTTCCAAATAATGTTACTTTTGTAATTCCGCAAGGATTATGCTATGCTGAGTGATATCTTTTCTGGAATTCTGGGAGTTGGAAGTCCACAGATCGCACAGGGGCCATAGTTGCCAACACCTGTTTTAAGGGATGAAACTGGTGCCTTAAGCTTCTGCAAGCTTTACACAGTCCCTAATTTCCCCCACCCAACACAAAATATAGTACATTTATAGTCTGCACTCTATGAAAGCATTAAATCAATTGCAGCTTCTGGGCCATGTTTTTGTACCCAGTCACAGGGTTTGAAAAGTGCCTGATACCTGTGAAAGATTTCTACGTTTATAACAATATTTACAATATATACTATCCAATACCTTACTTACAGAGTTTGCTTTTTCTTTGGCTATTCGTTTTTGTTCTTCCAACTTGAGCTTTTCATTTAAGGAATCATTTTCACTTTGTAATTCAGCAATTTTTTTCTGAAACATTAAATATAGTCCAATATAACAATCAAGCCTCTAATACAGGGGTGTCAAACTCACGGTCCGCAGGCTGGATCTAACCCGTGGGGTGCTTAGATCTGGCTGGCAGGGCTGCCCTAGAAACAGCAAAGGACTGGCCTCTGGTGCCTCTGCTAGTGAAAATGGAGCTCGGAACCGTTTCACTGACAAAGCACTGCAGGAGGCCCCTGCAGGCGTCCTGACACAAGTGATGTTGAGTTGGCCATGGCCCCTCACCCCCAGGTCAAACACAACCCTGATGTGGCCCTCAATGAAATCGAGTTTGACACCCCTGCCCTAACATAAAGCCAGGAATTATTTTAAAAAATACTATCAGAATAAAGGAAATTGGTAGAAGTCAGAAAAAGAAATGTGCTAAGATTCTTAATACTATTAGCTGGGCACCAGAGTGATACAATCTGTCAAACCAATCAGTATAAGCAATAAAGATGCTTAATAAAAACTAAAGTGCTGTGCTATATTAATAAGGACTAAGTATAAATATGGACTTTTTAAAGAGAGAAAAGTAAAGGTAAATTTTTTGAATAGTGGAGGCACATAAAATCTTGAAATAATTCATAGAAGTGTCTATGTATTAACAAACTGGGGAAAAATTCAGACCTCCAATTCTTCTTGCTTCTCATGGAAAGATTCTTCAAGTGACTTTCTTTCTAATTCATGGGTAGCCTTGAGTTCTGAAAAAAAATTAGAGGTTTATTATGAGGTAAGGTTCCCTAACATGCTTTTATTATAAGTTGTTGCAATAGCAAAAGATGAGGTTATATTTTAGTTAGAAGTAGAAAAATCCTGTATCCATGGTAAAAAAAAAATCTTTATGAGGCTTTTGAATGCTTTTAGATTTCTTTCTAAATATAACATCCTTACTTATAATCACAGGAAAGAAATGAGACAATTTACCTGAACAAGAAGATTCATATTCCTTCTTCAACTCTTCTATCCTTTCTGCATGTCTGGTTTCAAGTTCTAGCTTAAAATTTTCATGTGTTATATTCAAGTTGTCAACCTAAAAAGTAACAATATTTAGGGTGTTTGTGTATAAAAATACTTATTTTGGGATAGGTGTGGTTCAGTCATTCCTTCTCAGACCTAGGAAGCAAGCAATGGCAAGCTACTTCCAAAAACATGTCAAGAAATCTGCAAGAACTTCTCCTAGCAGTTTCCAGGAATCAACACTGACTCAAAAGTGTGTGTGTGTGTGTGTCTGTGTGTGTGTAGATACATACACACATACACCAAACTAATTTCTGCAAGTGTTCCACAAACCCAACATAGCTCTTTATAGGGCTTTGATTTAATACAAATTTCAACATGATTTGCAACAAGGCCATCCTAGAAGGCTGCTGCATTTCAATGAACGTCTTAACTTTACTGCAAAATGAATAATAAAATTGACTCTGTGAAGATAGACATATTTATACATTTTTAAACTTCACTGCTGAGTTTCCAGAGGAATGCATTAATATAAAAAAAACCTTGATTAAAGAATATTACAACAATTAAGCATTATGCTAAATAAATGCTCCATCTAACTCCAATTCCACTAACCTGCTCCTGAAGTTGTGCTTTGTATTTTTCAGCTTCTTCTATGCAGATACTCTGAAGTTTTTCACACTCAGCTGTGTAGAACTGTTTCAGCCGCTCTTCCAATTCCAATACATCACTTTGGTGCTGTTGGTTCAACTTCTGCACAAACCCTTCATAAGCTGCTTGCAATTCAGTTCGGTCTTTCTCCAATTTCTCACAGGCAGTGGTAGTAGTGACTTGATATGATAAATAATAATTTTTTTCCTCTTACAATCAAGTAGTTTCACAAACACATCTTTGGCTTTTACAATTCTCCCCCCCCCACCACCCCAAGAATATACTCAATACAATAATTTCAAACAAAGTTTCCAGTAAAGAGAGAAACAATGCACTGGGGGTTTATTTATTGAATGTTAATTATTTCCAGGTTTAACCCTAAACATATCTGGTTTAAAAGACAGTTGGATAGCAGCTAATAGAAATACCTTTCTAGAAAAGTTGAAAAGCTACTAACAATCTAGGCCAGCACATAAAGTCATATAAATCATCCCACACTCTTTCCAAAGCCATAGTATCTGCATCCTAAACAATACAGTTGATTCAAGACACGTTTAGCAAGATAATAGAGGTTTTATTTTTCCCCCAAAATCTTTCCCAGTGCTATCAAGTTGCTTAAAATAGGATTTGAGCTTTCTCCCTAGAAAGCACACGGTCTATCTAAATGATATTCTTGCCTTGTGGGATCCATTCAATTTCTCAGAAGTTTCCAATACTATTGATCTGATCTAAATACTAATTACAAGCAATGGTCCCAGCTCATTTAAGATTCAGAAACAAATGCTGGGAATCTATCCATGTATTGCAAGTGTCCAATTCTTTGTCATATTCTTTTACACTTTTGTGAAACTGCTGGGAGAAATTACTAGGTAATGAAGCATAAGGATTTTTCAGCAAAAGTTTCTTACCTAGCAGAATTCTCCCTACCCCAAAATATGCAGCCCTAGTATTCAAAACTGTATGGAAGATTGAGTGCACTTCTAATATATAACCTTGGTCTCTAGTAATTATTCTACACTGGCAAAATTATATTTTAAACTATTCTTAACTCCAAATTTATGGTAATGCTAAATATAATCCTATAGTTTAATATATGTCTATGTAGTTATAAGGAGCCAAATGTGCTTCAAGAGACTTAAAATAGTCAGTTTGAGAAGAATTAATCTTGAATAACATTTAAATCTTTTAAAATAAATCATTTTAGTTAGGAACAAAATTCCCTCATAAGTCTTAGCTAGATATAGTAGGTTTAACATTTGTCTTTATTTTGGGTAATAAAGGGAAATAGTTTGCAGCTAAAATTCAGAGTGAGAAAGCACTCATGTTCTCAAATTAGCTTATTCTGTATTACAAAATTAAGATAACATCAGATTCTAGCTATAGTATGAAAACTGCCTTTTCTTTCATTTTGTTACCAAAAGTGTGTATATGAAGTTGACAAGAAATAGGCACACCTATTTCAGCTAGCAAATGGACTGACAATTTGCTAGTTTGTGGTACAGAAGGTCCTTGAAATGGCTCTAAACTAATGGTAGTTACAACCAGTCTCAAAGTTCCTGCTTGTTGCTGCAGCCCCATGATCACCTGATTGCAATCCAGGCATTTAGCAACTGTCCTAAATTTCTGGTCATGAGATCAAGATGTGCAACCTTTGGCCTTCCAAAAGCAAAATCAATGGGGAAGCCAACAAGAAATTGAAAGCCACGACCATGTGGAGTCCTGGCTTAACAATGGTAATCAGATACTGTTGGAACTGCCAACAGTAAGAAGTATGGTCATGTGACTCATGCTTTACAATCACATCACTTAGCAACAGAAATTCTAGACTCAATTAGTTAAATGAGGGCTACTAATATTTTCACTTTTTAGGAATGGAGAAGGAAGGCAAAATGTATCTTCCGATTTGCTAGCAAAACAAATCTACATCTCTAGGAGGGGCATTTTTTCTTGGAGGATGCCTATTATCTATGCAGCTATCTTTTAAATGGCCAGGTATTTTTCTAGATTTTGACTTATGAGATTTAATGCCAATTTAACCATTTTATCTTAGTTTCATTTGTTACTCTTCTTCTTTTACAACTTTTATTTTTAAACTGGTCCAAGAATTTGTTAAAGCATAATTTATATTTTGGAAAACTACTCTGATAATTTTGTAAAAGTGTAGATAATGTAATATTAATAATAAAGACTGCTACTGGTAATTATTTAAAAGGGAAAGCAAAGAAAAGAGAAAGGGAAAAAACTAAAAGCCTTCCCTAACAAAGACCAGATTTCACTTTATTGGTCAAGCACAGGGGTTCCCAACCTCCGGGCTGCAGTCCACTACTGGGCTGTGGCCTATTTGGAACCGGGCCATGCAAGAGGTGGGTCAGCGCACACATGCAGTTCCACATACAGTACATGTGCATCAGGCTGGTGCTAATGTGTGCCCACTGCTTGCATAGCCCGGTTCCCTTCTTCCACCCCAGCTGGGCCATCAAGGTGCAAAGATTGGGGTCTGCTGATCTAGCAGAAGTCCTGAACCTCAGAAGATCAACTACATTAATCTTCGGAGCTCTTGTTTTGTATTCCACTAAGAAAAGTTAGACAGATAAAACAGTGTCTTTTGGGGTAAAAGTCTTCAAACTTTTAAATATAATATTAAATAATATAAATAATATTTTATACTGTTTTTGCTTTAGTTTTTGTGGTGGGCTGTTTTACTGCCTAGCTTTTATGCTTTTCTGGGCAACAATATGTACGTACCAACACACATATATTGACAAGAATAAACATTTTAAAAGCTGTCTTGAACGTTTCCAACTTGGTAGCCATTCTTGAGAACCTGACAACTTCATGATTTCCATGAACATTTCCTGCACATTTTCTTCACGGCCTACATATATGGAGGAGAGGATATCTGGTCTTCCCCAAATCTCTAACTTTTTAAACTGTGGGATAAAACGTGAACTTTTTTTTTCAGTGTAGGATTTCAGCCTTGAAATTATCAGCATGCATCAGCCAGATGTCCTAAACAGGAACAAATTTCACACGGGGCACCAAACGGTCTAGTGCTATAGAAGCAGAAGTTGAAAAACACCTGGAGGCCACTACGCTGCCTGCACTTGATTATTGGGGATATTATCAAAAACATCTGGAAGGGTCCAACTTCCTGAAGAAGAAAAGAAGTGGACATGAAACAATTTCATCATCCTGGGATGCTTTCATATCTTTCCAGAATGAAATTCCATGCATATTAAAGAATAAAAAATACATTACAAAAGTTGAGGTCTTAAAAAAAACTGATGCAAAAAGCTAAACTATGCTTATTTATTTCAGAAGGCACCAATCCAACCCCAAATAAGTCAGATTGTTTGTGGGCCAAAAAATTGAGTTGTGGAAATTATTTTGCCTCTTCACCAGGGAAACAGAAAATATTGCTTGGCTTAATAACCAGTCATTGTGGTTCCTAGTTATCTGTTCCATTAAGACCTCTGGCATATGAAGGAGATTAGGAAAGGGAGGGTTCCTTCATTTGCCATGGAAACTGAAAAAGAAAACATGACTATCACCTGCAGTTTGGACAAAAGCCTTGCTGTTTTTTAGCTTCTCTAAACCAGAAAACAAATGGGGGAGGGGGAGGGGGAGAGGAAGAAGAACACGTATGGTGCTGGATGACCTTTTGCTAGAGAAGGAAGGACATCTGGCTCGGCAAAACAATTTCAGGACAGGACAACTATCTGAAAAAAAAGTCAACAGAGCTTTTAATTATAACTGATCTTAGTCAAGGACCTCATCATAGCAGAGCCGATAGTACTAACTACTTTTTCAAGAAGATACCAGATAGAAAATGCCAAAACTAATCCAGACAAGAAGCACAACCAGGAGTGCTACATCTATTGTTATATTATAAGCTAACATTAACAAAATCTTCGAAGACTGAAAGTATTTCTCCTTCCTTTCCTTTTATGCTCTGAAAAACTAAGGAATGTCTCTTCTGAAATATTTCCAACACATTTCCCACCGCTCTTCTCTGAGCTGAGATAGCTTTTGCAGGCTGGATTTTCTATCTGTGGTTCTCCCTCCTGCCCTCCAACATCATTCCCAATATCATTACACTAGGTGTAAGTGCATTTGGCATTACCTTTTCACAGGAAAACCTGTGTCAATTCACACCTTCCACATTGACAGCTTAAACTCACTAATACACTAACCAGCAACTTGAATCTTCTACAGGAATATAATCTTCTAATCCAGAGGTCTTCAAACTTGGCAACTTTAAGACTTGTGGACTTCAACTTCCAGAATTCTACAGCCAGCTATGCTACGCTGGCTGGAGAATTCTGGGAGTTGAAGTTCACAAGTCTTAAAGTTGCCAAGTTTGGGGACCCCTGCTCTAATCTCTGTTGAATCCTTATTCTCCCACTTTATTGTCCAGAAACACCTCCAATTTATCTAAATCCGTTTGATTGTTTTCTCTTGGTCTGTTATTGACATCAAAAACTAATTGAGCATGTGAATATTTTCTTTGGATTTCTATGGGAAAAGTGAGTTGCATACCATTCACATCCAGGAATCACAAAACAGTAGGCAACCTCACGCAGCATGGGGTTATATATCATAACCCCAAAGCCTGACATATGCCATAACACAAAATCAGATTCTTCCACTATTGCTTTCTACCTTTAAAAATGACTAAGCTTTTGTTAATGGCTCCAAGATCTCCAAGCAATCTTGACACCAGAGAAAGAAAGAAACTAAATATAAAGTCTGGATGCTTTTTCTACAATGTTGGTGCCCACAGGACTAGGCTTGATCACTAGTAGCTAACCTGCTTTGTCAATGGGGGAAAGTAAGTAGCATGAGCAGTGGTAGGTTCAAGACAGCTCACCAAAACAATTATTCAAGGTACAGAATGAGCGGCCGTTCCTCTTGAAATAAACCAGAAAGAAGTTCAGCTTTGCATGCACAGACCTGATGTCTCACGTGTAGAATTGTTCAGTCAGTACAAAAATCCCCACAGAATTTAAGCCATTTAAGCAAAAGGGAACTGTTTTCAAAGTTATTAGATTTCATTAGCACAAAAAATACTACATACTCTCTATTGCCAAAAGTATTTGCTCACAACTGCTTCTGATTATTTGGATGGGTGAGTGAATACTTTTGGCAATATAGTGTATGTTGTAGATTTTTTTTAAAAAGCCTAAATTCTCAAAAGGGAGAAAAACATTCAAAATTGCTAATAAAAAATAATTTACAAGCAACATCACAATGCCATGCTTTGACAAATTTCTCCTCTTGAGGCAAAATAAGAACCATTAAGTCAATATGCTGATTAAGTGAAGGATAAGAATAAAATAGAATAGAATAACAGAGTTGGAAGGAACCTTGGTCTTCTAGTCCAACTCCCTGCTTCAGACAAATGGTTATCCAACATCTTCTTAAAAACTTCCAGTATTGGAGCATTTACAATTTCTGGAGGTAAGTTGTTCCACTGATTACCATAATTGTTATGTCAGGAAATTTCTCAGTATTAAATTGCTTCTCTCCTTGATTAGTTTCCACCCATTGCTTCTTGTTCTACCCTCAGGTGCCTTGGAGAATAGTTTGACTCCCTCTTCTTTGTGGCAACCCCTGCGATATTGGAACACGGCTATCACCCCTAGTCCTTCTTCTAAACTAGACATACCCAGTTCCAGCAACTGTTCTTCATATGTTTTAGCCTCCACTCCTCCAATCATCTTTGTTGCTCTTCTCTGCACTATTTCTATAGTCTCAACATCTTTTTTACATTGTGGCAACCAAACCTGAATGCAAGTACTTCCAAGTGTGGCCTTACCAAGGCATTATAAAGTGATATTAACACTTCACATGCTCTTGATTCAATCCAGTGGTGGTTTGCAAGCGGTACGCCCCGGTACAGACATACGGGAGCCTGTCCAGAGCACCAGGTACCTATTCCGCTATGGTGCTCCGCAGGGCTCACATGCCTGCCCGCAGTCCTTACCTGTCTTTAAGCTCTTCGTGGCTTCTGCGTACACGCATGGCGCATACAGCGCCTGTGCAACGCTTCGCCGAGCAACTGGAGCATCGTGGAAGCTTGCGGAGGCGTTGCTGGATGGTAAGATGCATGCGCGTACTCATGTGGAGGACGGCGGGGCCTGTTGCAACTGTACCGGTTGCAACGGGATCCGGAACCCATCACTGATTCAATCCCTCTGTTTACGCAGCCTAGAACTGTGTTGACTTTTTTGGCAGCTGTTGCACATTGCTGGCTCATATTTAAATAGTTGTTCACTAGGACTCCAATATCCCTCTTACAGTTTACTACTATTGAGCAAGGTATCACATATCCTGTACCTGTCCATTTTGTTTTTCTTGCCTAAATGTAGGATCTTACTTTTTTCACCATTGAATTTCATTTTGTTAGATAGTGCCCAATGTTCAAGTCTGTCAAGATCCTTCTGTATTTTAAGCCTATCTTCTGGAGTGTTGGCTATTCTTGCCAGGTTGGTGTCATCTGCAAATTTGATGAATTCCCCATCTATTCCCTCATCCAAATCATTGATGAAAATATTAAAGAATACGGGCCTTGGGATACTCTACTGCATACTTCCCTACAGATGCAGTTCCATTGAAAATATCTAATGTGTTTTAAGCAATTTCACACTGCAATTTGTTTCCTTTAGGAAATAAATCAAATTTATCCACACACTTTTGCCTCAGTCTTGATCCTTCAACTATGTAAGAGCAGAGAAGAAATAGCTCTACCATGTAAACAGCTCTACCATGTGAACTGGTGAGCAAGGTGGACCAATTACTCATAATACTAGAATTAGCTATTTAAAATCTCATGAAATTTTATGGTTTCCCAGTTCTCAAAAATGTTTTTATGGTCATTTGACTGCAGTTGGCTTATAAGCCTTTGGAACATTGTTTTACCGTATTTTCAAATAAACACCAGAACATAAACTCGAGACCAATTACCATAAAAAAGCATACATAACAGAACCTGTTCTAGTATATAAAACTAGACGCAGACTAAATTGGAACATGTTAACAAGTTTTAAAATTTATTTTTAAATACATATACATTTTTATATTTATTTTTAGGGAAGTTCTTATGGGCTTTTAGGGAGACACCTAAGCTCCAGCTATTTCCTTGGCCCTTGGGGGTCAGATGTTAAATCTCTAATTGATGAAGATTTCACTCTAATAGCCAACCTACAGCTTTAATACATTTTAATGAAATATGTTTTTAAATTGACTATGGGTTCATTTTTGTATGACACTTAAAATCACATGACTTGAGTTAGGCAGCCATATAAATGCCTGAATGAATACATAAATAAAATGGACTGTCACAATCAATTACTTTGAGGTCACTGATATAGGTGCTATGGTGTTGTCCACAATAAGATCTTTTCAGGTGACCAGAAGATAATTAAATTTTCCTTCACAGTGAGATTCACAAGTAAAAAAAGCTCCTTTCCCTCCATCAGTCTAGACTTCCCATACTTCATGTAAACATGACACCTCATCAAAGGTGATACACACTCTCATTTTGCCATTCTTGCTGTTCATTTTATAATTCAGAATGGTCACAAAGAATCTTGTTTTTTTCAAAAGACAGAAAAGACTTGATTGTTTTTTAAAGTTGCCATCCCTGCCTAATGCTTAATTCGTTGACCAAAACTGGACAATGTTTGTTGCTCAACATCCTTATATTATCAATGGAAAAGGGTATAAGGGAAGAGAGAATGACCGAGATCCAACAGAAAGAAACACACAATACTCTGCTGGTACAAAGTGAAACGGTGAGAAACCATGTCTAGCTAGCAAAGCCAACATTCAATTTTCCCATGTATATAATTGTATTATTACTACTTGAAAAATAATCCCCTTTAAAATTTTATGCTTATGCATGATATACATAAAAATATTTTCAATATATTAATGATCCAAGGCAGAAAAAAGCTTTTTTATCTCATCTATTGTATGCTTTTAATAGTAAGAGTAAGCTTTCCATGCCAATAATTGATAATGTATGAATCATCTTAGATATGTTAAGGTACAGTAACATTTCTTGAATCTGTCACCCTCCACCATGTCTTGCTATCTCTAAATAGGTTCAGCCCTGGGTTCCACAAATGGTGGAATTGTAGTCCACATGCAATGAGCCATCAGGTTAGAGAAAGTCATGTGAACAATGGTAAAAAATATAACCATTGCTTAAAATTGCCTTGAAGTTACTTGTAGTAGTCATTACTCTAATAAAATATCTGAAATTACAAGGGACTTATAATCACATTTCACAGATTGAATGTCAATCAACTTATAGAGCAAATTGCTTAAGTGTTTCACATATGTGATGTCACTGCCCCATTCCATTAATCTGTAAAATAGGTCAGCCTCGGTCTGTATTTTGAAATTCTCAGCAACTTGCCGTAGGCCAGCTAACAAGGACAGAGGTAAGATATAAAGCAAAACCAATTTTATTCTCTTACCCATAATGTTACAATCTGCTTATGACTTAACATTAAATACACTAAAGCTATTTGTTAAGATGAAATGCTCCTCTGGCACATTTAAGCTGGAATTAATTTTGGATCATTGTAAGAATTTTATGATTCTCTGCCTTGAAGCAGTTAAACTGTTTAGCTTAACTGATGTTTTCTTAGTTTCTTTTTAATTTTAGTTTACTGTGGACAGTCTGGGAGTGATTCACCACTATGAATAAAATACAGCACATTACCACTGTTTCCTCATTGTCAAGAGGGAAAGTAATACCCGTTATACCATTTAAACCATGGTTGTCCAACTTTGGCAACTTTAAAACTTGTGGATTTCAACTTCAGAATTCAACAGGCAGCATGACTGGCTGAGCAATTCTAGGAGTTAAAGTCCACAGGTCTTAAAGTTGTCAAGGTTGGACACCGCTGATTTAAACCAACAAAACGAAAAACATGGATTTGCACAGCCTATCTCATCATGCACTTTCCTCACTGTGGATGTTAGGACAATCAGAGACATGTTTCCAGAGAAAATTCTCTGGAAACCAGATGACCTCAGGGTCATACAATCAAGAATCTGGAAAAATGGAGACCTGAAGATCTGAACAGAATGGGTGGAATGAGTGGGAGGGGGTCTGAACATGCTGAGTCCGTTCTATGACTTCTTATGGCTCTTCTTTGTTGCTCCATTTATCATTTTAAAAAAGGAAGGAGGATAGCATTGATTAACACTTACCCAGATCTCCACGTAGGTTGAGAAGTTCCAGTGATAACTCTTTACGATGGGAAAGGACTTCTTCTCTCTGTGGGAAAAACACAGCAGGGATACATATAATGTTATTGGGGACAATATTTTTTAGTAGTTATATTTGCAGGCTATCTGCTAAATGACAGGAGCTGAAGCATAGGGAGGAGGATACCAAGATAAAAACCATCCACGATAACAGTTTTTTAACACTGGGAAAACACAGAATGTTCTAAGATAAGGAAGCAGATGTGTTTAAATAAGGTTTTCACCTCTTGTTAAGTACTTTAAAGTCAGCAAGAACTTAGTTTTCAGGTTAAGTGTGGATACTCTTAGGATTAAATTAACAATTTCTAACTTGTATTCAACAAACTTGTACAACCTTTTATTCATAACTTTGAGGGCCACACAGGAGTGAAAAACAAAGTGCAAAGTACTTTATAACAAAGGTAAATATAGCCTAAGTCTTCTATAGATTACAAAGCCTAATTACAAAATTTAGAAGCAGCACAGTGTGGGTCATGGTTTCAGTCAAAACATTCTCTTAATCAGGATTACTTTTGTTATAGCTAAAGTTGGTGCCGTTTAAACATTCCAAAAGAATCCATGTCCTTTTCTGCCTACTTCCGACTATTGAACTAGTTACAGAAAACAAGCAATCCTCCCCCCCTCCCGAATCTATAAGGTGCAATGAACCCTCTGCTGCCTGCTTGCAATCAACTGCTTGGAGAGCTCAATGTTGCAGAGATATCAAAATCCAAACTCCCTGCTGCGGGAAGCATTTCACCTTGCTTGCAGCAAACCACTGCTGAAAACTCCTTGACATTATTCCAAAAGAACACTACACAACAAATACCAATTACCTTTTTTGCAGCACATGGAACATACAAGCACACTTTGCTGCTAGAGCAGCCCATTGTACAGCTTAGGTCCCCAGCTTGTCTTCTGTCCCCAGCATATGCAGGCAGGAGTGTGTACAGGTGGCAAGCGGTCCCACAAAGCAAACTGGTTGGGCCACATTTAACTCACAACCAGATCGCACTCCATTGGCCACTGCCTCAGCTCCACTTCATCATGCTTTGCAGTTTACCGTAGTCCTTCTACTGGTCTCTCCCAATTCAGAGACACACTCACTGCAGCCTCTGCACTTGGCACCAGCAGCTAGTGATTACTTAAAGCTACAGCTCTTTCGTTTCTGAAAAATGAGAGCCAGACATTACTAAGATCGATTGCCACTTACTCAAATATCAGTTGGTATAATGCCTGGGAGGGAGGGAGGGTTGGGGGAGGAAAGGAGGGAGAGAAAACATCCTCCTGACCACCTCTATGGATAATGGATTTTATTTTTAGCTTTTCTGAATTAGTTATTCCAGGCTTTTACTCTTAATTTATTAGATAGGCTGGTGGGGAAATGAGATGATGTGAGCTGAAAGGAGGAAAAAGAAAGAAAGAAACTTTGCCAAAATTTGCTTTATGCTTCTTGTGCTGTTCTATTGAGGATTCAGCAGCAAATGAAAGTGATATAATCCTTTCAGGAGCTTCTCACTGGGACAGTGGGAGTGAAAAGAGCAATGTAAAGAGAGCCTTTAGAGCTGTCACTCAATATTTTAGCCTCAGTTCCATAGATACTCTTGGCTCTAAGTTGTATAGTTTAGTGGTTAAAGCATCAGACTAGAAAACAAAAGACTGTGAGTTCTAGTCCTAGCCTAGGCATGAAGCCAGCTGGGTGACCTTAGGCCACCAGTCATTCTCTCTCCGCCCTAGGAAGGAGGCCAGGACAAACCACTTCTGTAAATGTTGCCAGGAAAACCGAAGAGACTTGTCCTGATAGTTGCCAGGAATGAACAGTGACTCGAAGGCACAGAATAATAATAATTTTTAAAAGGTGACAGCCTTGAGTTGTTCTCATGAAGTATCTTAATCAGGAGTCAAATCTAGCATTTACGGCCTAGATTAATATGAGGATTTGGCCACCAAGAATCTTTTTCCTTCTCTAAAGGACTAATATGATGCTTTGGTATTTAAAAATCAGGATATATATTGCATCAGTATTTATTCTGAATATTTAAGCAGTACATTGCAAAGCATGGGAGCTCCTGCAATCACATCATGGCTATTAATAGAGTGGGTTCTTATTAGCTCTGAACTGTTTGAATAGGTTGTCCCAGATCACACTATAATCCATGAAAAATTATGCAATATAATCTAATTAGTCCTGGAGGTTCTATAAAACTTCCTGTTATTTGGCAAATAAATACGTTTTCTCTGCTTCTATTCCTAAGAAATATATAGGCAATATTAAAACAAGAATATTAATGACTTATTTACATGGACTAGAATGCACAAAAGAGGATTATATGCATATTCTAAATTCTATATATCTGAATTTTATTAACAGTCTAAATTTATAAGTACTGAGTATACAAGAAAATAAGGTAGTTCAATTCAAGACACAGGAAGTACTTTGCAAATAGACAAAACAGAAAGCCACACCTTGAGAACATACTCCTTATTTTTGAAATATTTATTTAACTACAAATTAGTTTAAATCCACATCTGATAACTGGTTAGTCAGTCAGGGGCTCTTATCAATTATAGATAAAAGCAACAATTCTCATTGTTTAGGAACAGAGTTCCATTTCTTAGGCTAAGAAGAATTGATGTTAAAATAAAGACTATCTGTTTAGAAGGCCAACAAGTCAGATAATCAAAATTATTGATTCAAATACTATATGTTTGAACAAAAAACCCTCTAAATGACTCAAAGAAACCAACTTAGAATCAAACCTATCAGTGGCTATTGGATGGATGATCTGGGTAGCAAGCAAAGCAACTAATATTAAAGGACCCCAAACAACCCCTATTTGGTTTAATGAAAACATAGACAGTGCGATGGAGTAGTATGAAAATGAATGCTTTGTAGATTGCTATAATAACTGGGAACTTTAAATTTAATTTAACAGTAATTTAAATTAAATTAACAGAGGGTTGTTTAGCAAGGAAATATGCCAAGACAGTGGCCTGGGAGAGGGGTTAAAAAAACCCTGACTGTCCTCCATTTTAAAAGTAAGTGCGTGGGGAGGGGAGGAAAGTGCCCTTAACAGCTTAAAGGTTCTGTTTTTGATAATTATTCCACATATTTCTTTCATTATTGACATTATGCAAAATACAGGAGAACCCTTATGCCCCAGGATCAGAAGCATATAATTGTGTATTTCAATATCAGTTTATTTATTTTACAGGATTTTTAGGTTGCTCTAATCACAACTGACTCTGAATGCCATACAACTTCCCGCCCATAATTTGATTTAAGCAAAACAAAATATCATTACAAAAAATCAGAAGGATTAAAACAACAAAGTAAGATCCCAGGATTAGTTTGCAATCCTCCTCTCCCCACACCTCATTCTATATTTCAAAATTTGTTTAAACAGCCAACTCTTCCTATATTTGTGTTTCTCAACTTTGGCAACTTTAAGATGTATGGACCTCAATTCCCAGAATACTAGGAGTTGAGATCCACACATCTTAAAGTTGTCAAGGTTGTGAAACACTCTTCTAAAACTCTTCCAAAGCCAACAAGGATAGGGGCCATTCAGATGAATGGGGAGATATTCTAGGGATGTAACATCATTAAAATTGTTGATCATTTATCTCAATTACTGTGATGTTTTTAAAAATCATTTTGGTTTTCCATTTGTTTACTGCCCAGAGAACTGTAGTTACTGGGAAATTAAGAAATATAGTGAATAAAACACAACCAAATTATACTCTGTTTGTATGGATTAGCAGATTCATAGCAAAGGGGTTTAATCATTTCAAAAAACAAATGGGATAGAGACAGTCACATAAAAACAGAATTGTCTTATTTAGGCATTTGTCCCAGGGTCATTCTGACAAGTTGGCTTCTGACAAGCAAAGTCAGTTGGGAAAGCCAAATTTGTTTAATGACTGCATGATTCACTAAACAACCAGTGATTTACTTTACAACCATGGCAAAATTGGATGTCACTTGCTTATCAAATGCCTTCCTTAGCAAGGGAAATTCTGGTCCCAATTGTGATCCTACAACAAGCACCACCTGTATGTATTTCAGCTGAAATCTCATAGCTATTCCTGAGCAGAGCCATGTGCATCAATTTGTATGGAGAAGTAAAATGCTAATTTAGTGGTTTCATTTTTACAGGGAGAATTAGTCTTGTTCACAATCCATACAACTATCTACTACAGTGTAACTACTGGACAATGAATTGACAAAAAGTATTTTGTTTGAAAGACATTGTGAAAGGGCATTTTCTGCAAATCAGACTAAAGGAGATGCTCATTCCCAGTTAAAGGGAATCAATCATGCCTTAGCAAGGCAATCCAAAACCAATCCAAAACCACTCAACCTTTCCTTCTTCCCATACCTGGAACTGTTAACTCCTGTGTTACTTCTACCTAGTTTTACTAAATCTGCTGGATCTTTCTGGAAAGAAATAAGATAGAAATGGCCAAAGGCTCTTTACATCCTGTCAAGAAGAAAATACCATTGACACCAGGAATACCTTTCTGAAGGAAACCCAACATTATTCCTATAGCTTCATTGCTATAGGCAGTGTGTTGTTATTCAACTTCAACACTAGGAGGCTATAGCGGTACATCATTCTATCATCCAATAACATATGATAGAAATGGACAGGGCAATTAGTTTTCTTTTTTCTCGTGTTTAAGAAACATTGTCATATCTCATGTAAACAAAGTACTTCTGCATTTGTCTAAGATCTTTAACTACTGATCATGTTTGGTTAGATTTCTGTTTCTGTGTATGACAATCACTGAATGTTTTTGTTCTCTTACATAGTAACAAGAAACCTAGGTTGAAAATGAATAAAAAATGGTGAAAGGTGCACAAATGGCTGCTCCAGTAACCTCTTTTAAAATAATAGTAGTAAAAAAGACAACCCCAAGTACTTGAAGACACTTACCACTTCTTTCTTGTAGCTAGGTAGGGCATTCAAAATGGTTAATTGATCAAATCCCAAGGCATGGCAAAGTTTTGCAAGTTTGCAACCCATGAACTGTAATATAATTATTGATGAAGTACACACGATTAAAACTGAATAGCTCAATAAATTCATGGGCCTTTAATATTAATCACAGAGGTCTGACGTATATAATTTCAAGATTAAAGCCAGATCCATGCTCTTTCTTGATGAAGAGGCTGTTATATATTCCTAAAAGGCTTTTCAAGGAAGTAAGCATTTACATTTGGACAGTTTTATAGCCATGGTTTAATTAAAAGAGTATGTTTAAGCAACAACGGCCCTTCTTCAATCTTTCCCTTGAGTAAAAGTAATGAAAAGACTATGACATCAGTTACCATGACAACAGAAGTGTCACTAATGCTACACTGTGACCTCATTAACTTTTTCAGTAGAAGATTCAACACTTGTTCTTTTAAAGATACGGTAACACAAGAAATAACTTTTTAAACAGGTGTTTCTAGCAACAATTTTTAAAAAGTGGTAACTTTTTCTGAAATTTTTTTCTTCTTGGTAGTCAAATGTTGACTTCTGTAATAATGGTGTCCTTGGCAAAATCATGTTAAAAATATTTCACGCATATTGTCTTTTGGGAAAACTAAACAGATTTACAATGTTCCATATGATACTGGCATGCTGAATTAAAGAAAAAACTACAACTAGCTTTCAAAACTGAATTGTGACTTATAAAAATGCAACACTCTGATTCAAGGTTATAGAAAATCAATGTCCTACATCAGGGCTATCAAACTCATGTCGTCACAGTGGTGTCATGTGATGTATCGGGACTTTTCCCTCCTTTGCTAAACTGGGTGGGGTCATGGTCAGCACGTGACGCATCTGGCCTGTGAGCCGCCAGTTTGACAGCCCTGTCCTACATGAAAAAAGCCTCCATGAGATCTTAGCACTAATTGTTTTACCCACCTCATTTTCACAAATCAAAAAGATGTTAAAAGACTAGGATTCTATGTAACATTGTCAGAAGGAGTCCTAACTAACACGTTTTCCCAACTAACACGTTTTAAAAGGCATAAGCTTTCTTGAGTTATGGTTTACTTCATTAGAGGTGTAGAATGACTGATACAGTATTTAAAGTGGTATTTACAGAAATCCAGTGCTTGCTCATGCTCAGCCATATACTATGAAATAATATGAGTTTCTACCACTTCAGAAACACCTAGGATTGCTGTTCTTTGAAGAAGACCAGAAGGGAAAATATTTTATTTGATATTTAGCAAATCTAAAAGTAATGTATCATTTAATACAACAGTACAAAACACTGTCACTTCCTACATCTATGATTTCAACTACCCAGTTTAGTCTTTAGCTCCAAAGAATCACCAGGTATGAATTAACTCAGCTCAGCTTTTCAAAGTCAGCCAAGGCTAACAAGAGGTCACCCACTATCCAGGTAGGAACTGATTTACTAGAAATGCATAGTATATTCTATCCCAAATTTGAGCTTTTAGCTTCAAAATGAGTTGTTTTGATAGACATCTGCACAGTGTGTAATAACAAGAGCAAAGTGCCTGTTTTCAGAGTGCCAAAGTAGCTTTGTCTTCCAGAAGGCATACAAAGCTGTTCCAAAAGTTGTCCATGCATGGGACCACCAGTGAAAAAAACAGCAGTGTATACACCCACATCTCCATATAACCAGGGATAGTCTCTGAAATATAGACAAGCTTCCTGGGAGTCACAGTTGCTTTAATGCTTCGCTACCATAAAAATACACAGTATTTCATTTACAATTACAACTAACAAACCATTTAATTATAATTCTCAATATTGTGATTAATCATTTGATAACACCCATGGAAAAATCTCCAAGCTCATATTGTTTTAAACATAAATATGTTATGAACTAGACTACTTGCAATCACACTGAAATATTCCATGCTCTCAACAATATGTTGTAACATAGAGGGCACTATTTTCAGATGAGACTTTAGATGAGCATAGGATAATATATTCTCCAGGTATATTATATTATAACTCCTTAAAAGTATGGCAATTGCTACTTTCTTTCTAACTCATAGGAAGCAATCAATATGCCCAATGTTATCTAACCATTAGAGTGGATGAAAACAAATTAAAATCAAATCAAGACACAACAGAGGTGATGCTGATAAAGAAAATCTGATCTGATTTGACTTTTGCTTTTTGTAAAGAAAAGGCTGGACTTTTGGGAGTGGGTCAAGTTATTTTCGAAAGAGTTATAACATTCAAGGTATATTTCTACAATTTGAAAGTGCTCCTTGTTTCCCATCTATCATTGGATTTTGCAATCAGTAGTTGCAACAAGGAGTGTGTTTATACAATTATGGCTGATCTGCCAACTACAATCCTTCTTGAATGAGTGAAACATTGTCTTACCATACCTTGTTTGACTATGGCAATGTGTTCTATGTTGCATAAACATGTCCACAATTGCTCTTAGGGCAAAATACATAAATTATATGATTCCTTTGTCAGCTACATATCAGGAACAATCAAAGTTTTTTTTTCTATTTTTTCATTTTTAAAATTTATATCCCAATTTTATTTTGTACAACTCAAAATAACATATATAATGCAACTAAAGTGTTCTCTGACACTTCTCTGTCTGAGTATCTGCAGAATTAGGGATCGGCCCAGCTACTCAGATCAGAAGTCCTTCTGCAAATGCCTTTACTATCACAGATTTAAGTTTAAATATTTAAGCAAAACCTAACTTCAATCCTTGCTGGAATTTCAAACTTGGCAAGCATGTCTATATAGAGTATATCAAATGAAATGGGATGGGAAGTCAATATCCAGATACCCCTAGAAATGTAATCTGAGTTATTGCACTGTCCATTTAGGCTTTTCATTTAATTTGGAGTTTTTCTCGTGCATCTAGATTTCAATAAATAAAGCATGTATAAATTTGACATGAAACCTTACCTCAGATTGAAAGTGCTGGATCACAACAGCTAATGCTTCTAATTTCCTATTGCTGTTTGCCAAACATTTCTTCAGCTGCTGGATAATTCCACTTTGGTTTTCACATTTTCTTTTGTATTGCATCAAATCTTGTGTTTTTGTTTCTGCTTGTACTTCCTTAGAAGTCCTGGTCTGTAGACATGAATTCTTAGGACTCTTCTGCTTACCCTGGCCAACTGGAGAGGAGGGGGAAAAAAGTTCAATCAGGAATATAGTTCAATTTAGCAAGACAAGTGAAAACCACTCACAGCATGCTGCAGTATTCTTTTGATAGTTACAAGAAAAATAACTCATAAATTCAATTATCTAAAGATTCATTATCTGTGTTTACAAATGTCTTATTAAAATATTTCATTTCTATCTTCTACACTTAATACTCAACACTATCATTACCTTGATCACTAAAAATCCTCTTTTCCCACATTTCTGTTTTAAGACATTTACAATAAGTGTTGAAAAGCCCTTTCGACACACACTAATGCATCTTAGTGCTGTAATCTCAAATATGACAAATTGTGGATGCACTTTATTCTCTAGACAATACTGCAGGCATACTGGGCAATTTGCATAGAAAGCACTTTCATGGATGCTTTTATGCTCTTAATGACTTTTATAATTACTGTCTTAACGTTGACATGGAAAAGAAGGTTTTCCCATTCAATTAGTTATTCTCCTTTTTTTAAAAACAGCATCAGTGTTTTATAACCACTGCAATAATTTTATGATTTTATAGAGAAAAATACAGTTCCTAACATCAATGTTGTACAAAGCCCATGTAACATTATTGCTTATATACAGTAAAACATAGATTGCGGGAGTGACTATTAAGTCCCTTCCTACAATTTCAAAACTGTATTGTAATTTTATGAGCCTGTTCTCTGACAGTTATAAAGTATTCATTATTCATATCAAAGATGCAGCTTTTTTGGTAATTTAAACAACATTTCTAATTAAGGAGATTGATTGAACTTTACTGTTATCTATCTTACTGAACATTTACTTCCAAATAATTTCCCAAAAAACATTCTTATGAGAAATAATAGATTTCATCTTATGTTTTTGGTAAGAGTCTTACACAAGATTGTGTCTAGAAGGAAAAAAAGCTTTATTGTGCTATATATCATTATTATATGAGTTAAAGATTGGGATTGCATTTGCAGAATTATTTGAATTGTTATGTTCTTATTAATTTCTATTATCAAATTGTTCCATAAAAAGTTTGATGCCCCACTATTGTATGGGGACAGCTGATATACGGTTCCAGTTTTGTATTGCATTAATAAAAATCAATGTAATTTCTGAAATCCTGAAAATTTATAACACCCAGTGCAGCACTGAGAGTAGATGCAAGCTTCCCAGGATGGAGACTAAGTCTTGGCAGTGAATTCAGTTTTTGTGATTAATGATCATCCTGGCTTTGTTCCCCTGATTACAGGGAATGCATTAAATTTAGATATAGGATATTAAGTAAAATGTTCCTAGTCAGTCTGTCTGCTGAGTTTCTGCTAAATTGGAAGTTGTATAAGGCCTAGAAGTTAATTAGAAAATGGATTGGAGATATAAGGGTACAGTATGAAATGAGCCACATTACATGTAGTCCTTGACTTACAATTGAGACCAAAATTTCTGTTGCAAAGTAAAAAAAATTGTTAAGTGAATTTTGTCCCATTTTATGAGCTTTCTTGCCACAGTTAAGTGAATCACTGCAACTGTTAAGTGAATGTGGTTTCCCAATTGACTTTGCTTGTTAGGAGGTTTCAGAAGCCAATCGCATGACCCAAGGCATTGCAGCAGTTGTAAGTATAAGTCAGTTGTTAAGCATCTGAATTTATTCAAATGCCAAAGGGGATGTTGCAACAGTTGTGTGAAAAATGGTTGCAAGTTGTTTTTATCCAGTGCTGCTCTAACTTCAAATGGTCATTAAGTGAACTGTTGTAAGTTGAATAGTACCTGTACAAAGTTTCTGAAACTGCTAATACAGAGGTTTGGAGCCGCAAATAATTTATATTCCCTTATTTCCATAACAGACATCCTTTTACAAGAGCTCATTTTAACACTAATTTTAACACTTTCCCTTCCTTTAATACCTTTTCCAGAGGTTTCCAGGAATATCCACATATATGTAGGATGATTGAGTCTGTGGAGCATATTTTTCAGTTTGTGGTTTTTTAAAATCTGAATGGAGATGACCACTACTTCACCTATTATTAAAGAATGTCCTTAGTCATGGTGAGCAATTTTATGTAAGTTATATTCTGGCCAACAGAAATCCTGAATTCATCTATTCCACATCAAAATGTTGCTATTTAAAAACAAGTATATCCCATGACAAGGGACAGAATGATTACCTTTAGAAATTTTGTTTGTATGTGAAGACTGTTTTAAAATATTATTATAGTTAGTCAATGACCATAGCAGAGTTTAAAACAGAAATGCACATGCTTGAAGAAGTGCTATAAAAATCGAAGGATATCAATAAATACAGAATATAAATTTCAAAGTTACATTTCAAAGTTGCATTTCAAAGCAAGCTAACTTGCAAGTTATTACATGTATTTAAAGCATGTTAAATTAGAAGTGTCAAAGAATTTTTGCAAAATGGTTGCTTTCATGAAGTTCAAACTTACATTGCGTTAGCCTAGTTAACATCCAATAAGCCCATCCCTAAAATAAATATCTGTCTTTTGTAAAAAGCTAATCTTGGGCATCACTCACATACCTTAAAACCTGAGCTACAACGGTAGCATATTTCTATTTTGTCAGATTCTCTTAGACAAACTGCATAAATGACACTGGAGCCGATTCTGAGACACATTTTGCTACTAAGTAAATTTATATGCGCATACATGTAAAGATTTATTATATACTCTGGGCTATTTTATGATGAATGAAAAGATAAATAATAAAACATAATACATTTAGCTAAAAACTAAATCCAGAACGCTTGCCACACTTATATTCTGATGATGAATAGATCTCAGGAAAAAAAGAATTGCAGGCTTTTAAAGCAATGAAATTGATCTACATTAACTTTGGACAAGAACAATTCAACTACCAATATGCACACTCTTAAATCTTTATTTTAGAGACTTAAGTAACATTTATATTTGACCCTTTTTTATCCACTTTTTGAATTTATTTATGAATTTATTACAGTAATTTGTAACCATGTACAAATTATAAGATTTGAATTTGTTGAAGTCATATTTAAATATTAATAAAAAGTATAATGGGAAACATGTTTTTATAATAAATAAAATATATAATAGAGCTAGTTTAGTCTAGAAGACTGAGTTCAAGTCCTGCCTTAGCCCTGAAAGCCACATGATTAGGGTTGATTGTAGCTAGAAGTATTACATTCCTACTGGTTTCATCGTCACCATCTTGTCAGCACTCCCTTCTGTACAGTAAATTGTTTCTTCCTAACAGATGCCAACATTTGATTCCAAATATTGCCAAATGTTTGTGATTAATTCCACTGCCCCAAGTACAGACCATATGATGAAGAGGTTTATTCAACACAGTGAAGCTAAGGTGCTACATAGAATCATTCATTTATTTTACTAAAAATGCCAGTTTTGTTGAAACTGTCCATAGAAATGGGTCATAAACTATTCAATGAGTTATCAATATTCTTGTTGCATTACCCTCACATACAACATCAGAACTAATAGGGATTGCAGAGAAAGTTATTTGAGAGTTTGGTGTTCACAAAGTTAATACACAGTATTCAGTTATTAAGAACCTCAACCTCATTATCCAAGCCCAGAGAAAGAAGCCAGAACTGTGTGGATAGATAAAATACTCTTGTATTCTGGTACAAAGTTCCAATTCAGTTATCACTAAAACTATGAATCATTATGGAGAAGCCAGGAAAATAATGGAACAGTAATAAGATATAAACAATCTAAAAACAAAAGAAAACATGGTAGTCTATCCTACGGCTGTGACCAGAGGGGCCTTTGCCCAGGTTCGCCTGGTGCACCAGTTGCGGCCCTATCTGGATCGGGAGGCACTTCACACAGTCACTCACACCCTTGTTACCTCGAGGCTTGACTACTGTAACACACTCTACATGGGGCTGCCCCTGAAAAGTGTTCGGAGACTACAACTAGTCCAGAATGCAGCCGCGCGAGCAATATTGGGTGTACCAAGGTACACCCACATTACACCTATCCTCCGCGAGCTGCACTGGCTTCCTATTGGTCTCCGGGTGCAATTCAAAGTGCTGGTTATTACCTTTAAAGCCCTACATGGCCTAGGACCCGGATATCTGCGAGACCGTCTTCTGCCACATACGTCCCAACGACCGATAAGATCACACAGGGTGGGCCTTCTCCGGGTGCCGTTAGCCAGACAATGTCGGCTGGCAACCACCCGGGGGAAGGCCTTCTCTGTAGCTGCTCCGACCCTCTGGAATAAACTGCCCCCAGAGATCCGGACCCTACTCACTCTCATGGCCTTCCAAAAGGCTCTTAAGACCTGGTTATTCCGGCAGGCCCCGGGCTGTTGAACTCATGACTGAGTTCCAGCCCCGATTAGACTGAGTGTATGTTGTGGTCTTTTTAACTTATGTTTCTGTGTTTTTAACTTTTCTATTTTTTAAATGTATTGTTGTAAGCCACCCGGAGTCCTTCGGGATTGGGCGGCCTATAAATTCATTAAACATCAACAACATCAAATGGAAATTCAGCAGGTAGCAAAAAAACCTAAACAAAATTTTTTTGAGATCATTGAAAGGAACTCCCCTCTTATTTATGAAGGGTTGGGAAGTCCTTGCAGATTCTGTATTTATTCCAAGACTGGCATTAAAGGTACCTTACTGAAGTCAGTGTAATTTGCTTTCTTATGGTATTTGACAGCAAAACACAACAAGATTATGTAGGGATAGCTATCCAAACCTTTTTGTGAATTAAAAGGAATGGTTTTACTTCATGAGAATGTTTGATTAGTTATTCCTCAGTGTTTTTCAACCTTGATAACTTTAAGATACTGTATGTGATCTTTGACTCCCAAAATTGTTTTCTGTTCTTGCCAACTTTGCCTCATGCACTTTAGTACTTTACATATTATAAAGATTGGGGGCATCAAAATCTGTAGAAATCTGTTACCTACCAGAATTTCTGAATCAGGACTGCCATCATAAAGCCAAGATAAAAAATAAATGTTATGATGA